ACTGCTTAGAGCCTTGACTGTTATGGAGGATACATGAATCTATACAGGAATCCTTCAGAACTTAATACATGCTGGGTGAGGTGATGCACACCTGTAATCCCAGCACTCAGGAGGCTGAGGCAGGAGGATCGTTGCAAGTGCAAGACCAGCTTGGGCTACAAAATGAGCTCAAGGCCAGCCTGAACTGCATAGCAAGAACCTGTCTCAAAAAGACAAAAGAAAAAAAAAAAAAAGATCTGCACCAGGAAGGCCGAAAGGTCACAGGTAGAAGCTAGAGAGTCTGTGCCAGTGGGATGAAGGATCTGTACCAGCAGGCTGAGCGATCTGCACTGGAGCCAGGAAGCAGTGCTCAAGGTAAGGACCAGAGCTCCCCCAAAGAGAACTGCAGCCGTCCTCAGTGACAGTGAGGTCCCGAGCTCCTCAGACGATGAGAGCAGCCCAGTTCCTATCAGGTAAACCAGCACGACAAGCTTCTCCAGGAGGATCCAGAGCACCACCTTCCGCTCCAGTTCCCTCTTATGCTGCTGGCAACAGTCCTCGGCTGGGCCTCCCACACCCAGCACCACGCTCGCTCACTCAGCTGGGTGCTGCAAACTGACCATTAGTTAACTCCCCATGTAAATTATCTGTCCCTCAAGACTCAGGACTTCATACTGATTTCAATCTGTTTTTTGAAGATTCATGGTTGCCTGTGTACAAGATTCCTTTTATTTGTAATTATTTTTAGATATTGACTGTATAGGGAGAGTCTGCCAAAATATTTAAGCATGCCACAGAAGTCACTCTCCTCCTACCCCTCCGGAAAGAATGGTTTTGACAACTGCCAAGCCGGAAGTGGTCAGATGAGACCTGGGTAAAGACGTCAAGTCCTCAGGCTCTCTGCTCACAGGCAAATCAATGTTCAGAAATGCCCAGAACTGAGATTCTAGGTGAGTGATTTTGCTCTGAGGTTCATTGTCTTTACTTGGTCAAAGGCATTTCCCAAATGACCAATATAAAATAATTCAGGGGTCCCTACTACTCTGGTTTTAAACTGATTTTTTTTTTTAACCTTTCTTTCTATTATATTTATCCCTCAGTTTTAGAGGTAAATTGACCCTGCAAAGGAAAAACATCTCCATAAAGAAATGTACCAGTCAAGATACAACATGGCTATAAAAATTAGTATCACCACACGTACAACGGGAAACCCCACAAAGGAGGGAAAGACAGGCGTGGTGAGACACACGTGTAATCCCAGCATTGGGGAGGCTGAGGCAGGAGGATCGCGGTGAGTCCCAGGCCAACCTGGGCTACACAGTAGAGTTCAAAGCAGCCTGCACTATATAGCAAGACCCTGTCTGAAAACAAAGGAGGGGTCTCACTCATCTATTTGTTCAGCGCGCTTTCAAATGTGAGAAGAGCCAAGAGAGGGAGAAAGAAACCCACATCCCACATCAGGGGAAAACCAGCAGCCCCAGGAGCTCAGCGCAGCCTTCTCGCTTCACGTTCCTCCGGGCGGCACGGCCAGATCCCGAGCGGGAGGGTTTCTCAAAAGGTCAGCGTTGTGGACACTGCTCAAGACAAACAGCGGGATGTGTGTGAGGGAGGAGGCAGCGCAGGGCAGGCACAGGGGCGCGGCGGCAGAGCTGTGAGGGAGGAGGAAACGTGTCACTTCCTCCCGTCCCGGGAGCCGGGGCTGTGTCCTCCCCGGGCTGCGGGAACTGACGGAGGAAGCCAGGCCAGGCGTGGGGACACACAAGAGCCGCCCCGTCCAGCCTCCATCCCGCTGGGCCCCGGGGACAGACCCCAAAGCGATGGGACCCTCGCGGGAGCCGCGGCTCCCAGTTCTGTTACAACCCTTCCCCGAGCCGGAACCTCGGCAGCCAAGTGACCCTCCAGGCGGAAGCCAAAGCAGCCACGCGGGAGACGGCTTAATACCAGACAAGCTGGCGCCAAGCTTCCCCGGAGGCAGACGCCCAGATGCACTGGGACCTCGTGCTCTCACCCAGTGGTCCTGGCAGGTGCTGCAGGTACCGAAATGAGGAGCTAGACACATCGTCTAACAAGGGCAGCGAGGCACAAGGCAATCGACAGCAGCAAAGCTTCTGCTTGTGAGTCAAGCATCAACGACCAGCACCAGGATGAAACGGATGCCTCAAGTCACTCAGTACCAAATCTGATGAGTTTCAAAGCCGTTGAGCACCAAGGTAGGACTGGAAGTTGTAAGGAGACAATGGGAAGGAGAGCAGAAAAGAAACCCAAAGATTCTTAAGAGACTTAAGAAGCAGGCTAGCAGCACAATCCCTAACAGCTAAATCTTGGGAGCAGCCTACATGTCCCTCAACAGATGACTGGGTAAAGAAAATGTGGTATTTATACCCAGTGGAGTACTGCTCTGCCATAAAGAAGGATAAACTTGAGTCGTTCGTAGGAAAACAGATGCACCTTGAGACCATGTTAAGTGGAATAAATCAGACACCGCAGTGATGGTAATATTTTTCATCAACAGAGCTCTCCTAGTGAGTATTGATACATTCACTGGGTCTGAGTGAAAAAAAATAAATCAGACACATGAGCCTAAATATCACATGGTTTTTCTTATAGGAGAAACTCAAATTATAAACAGCAAAATAAAAGATACAAGGTAGGGAGCTTTGAAGAGCTCTACATCAGCCGAATAGGGGCTTTCTTTGGGGGGTAATGATGCTCATGTTTGGTAGGGGAGTTAGGGGGCTTTAGTGTGGCCCGCACTGCCCCAGTGAGGCAATTTTAAGAGAAGCAGTAATAAGACATCAGCTTCCTGGACTAAAATACTGGCTTCCCTGAACACAGGGACACTGAATACGAGCCCCAGCGGCCCAGGGGGACAGGAGCAGAGAAATAAATCAGACACATGAGCCTAAATATCACACGGTTTTGCTTATATGAGAAACCCAAATTATAAACAGCAAAAGACAGGGAACCGGAGTAGGGAGATAGATCTTTCTCAAACGGGAATAGGATCAAGAGAAGGGGGAGGGGGAAGGAGGGCATGGAAGGGGATGAGAAGGAACGGAGACGTGTTCTGTACACACACCACCTCCTCACAGGAGTGTCATCTTTGTGCACTGCACACACCCAGTAATAAAAAATTAAGAAACACGTTAACCAATGACAAATGTATGAATCTCATTTGCCCCATGATTGAACTACTAAAAAATACGAACCATAATAGGGGGAAATTGAGGCTGTGTATGGTGGCACACACCTGTAATCCCAGCGCCAGGGATTACACTCGTATGTAATCTCGGGATTACAGGAGAGGGAGGCTGAGGCAGGAGGATCTTTTCAAGTTCAAGACCAGCCTGGGCTATACAGTGAGCTCAAGGCCAGCCTGAACTACATAGTGAGAACCTGTAAAGCCAATAAAAAGGGGGGGGATGGAATACTGTAGTGGTTGATTGATTATGTCAACTTGAGAAGTTTAGAAGCATAACTAAACTTGGCTCAGCAATTGGCCCAGCAATTCTACACTCTAGGGTGTAGAGGAGCCACCCTAGGGTGAATCATCACCTAGATAATATAAAAGGGAAATGAGGAAGGACAGAGGAGCTTCCATTCCCTTTGGAGGAGCTCCAGTCTTCACCTTCAGCTTGGACTTCGTCTCCTGGCTTCTAGTGCAGACTCTTCGGCTTCCACCTTGGATCCTTCAGCCTTCCGTCGCAGACTCATTGGCCTCCTGGTACGGACTTGCACGGAACTCTGCAGTGAGCTCCAGACCCTGGACTGATTCCTTTGGTCTTCAGTGTGCAGACACTCTCTGCACGCTTCGCCATACAACTCTCTGGCTGACCGTCGTAAGCCAATCTTGTAATTTCTTAGAATTTGTACATCCTGTGTTATATCTGCTTCTCCTGTAAAACCCTGACCGATACAAACACTGACTGGATATTTGCTGTTAAAGAGCTAATTTTTACTTGGTGGTATACAATGTTTGATTATATATAATGCTTTTTCATGACTCTACTCCATTTAGATACTGCGTGTATGAATGACACGATGCCTGGGAATTGCTCTGCACACATCCGGGAGGAATGGGGGTCTGGCAGAAACTAGACGGGCACAGGTTGGAACTTCTCAAAGCTACAGGGTGTTCAGGCGTTCGCGTGCTGCTGGATATTTTATTTTGCCCGATGACTGAAAAATGAAGAAGCAAGCGTCTCCAGAAGGGGCGGGGTCAGTTCCTCGGACCTACCTGAGCTCATCCACGGAGCCACCCTCTCCCCTCACCGCCATCATGGGGCTGGCGCGCTGGGTCCCTGGAAAGCACCGTCTGTCTGTTGGGTGACGAGGAATCTGGCCAACCCATGTCCAGGGAGGAAACTTGGGAGAGGTGACAGGACAGCTGTGTGATGTGGCTCCACAGTGTCTTACAGCAGGAGGATCCTGGCCGGGGCCATGAGGGGGTCACCCCATCGAAGGCTCCTGCAGGAGCCTGGAACCTGGGCCCGCAGACAACGGAGGGACTGGAAGGGGTGGGGACAAAACCAGCACCCAGGGGGACCAGGTCACTGGCTCTGGGCAGAAGGAAGTCGGTGAAACCGTCTGCAGCGAAATGAAACAGAGGTTCCGCCCCGACAGGCTCTTCCCAGGAGGGACGGGACTCTCTCCCCGCCCAGCCTGACCCTTCCTCCTCCGCACCCTCAAGGGAGGAGGCAGGCACCTTCTGGAGGCTGTGCTACCTCAATTTAGCACAGCGGGGGACATGAGGGACACTCAAATTCCTGACCCTCACTCACACCAGATGCCCTTCCAGTTACCAGGAAGAAGCCGCAGTCCGCTGATACCCCAGGCACACAGCAGGGACAAAGCCCGGGAGCCCAGAACTGCTCCTGGCCAACACCCCCCATGTGCATTCTAAGCTTCAGGGGTGAGTGCAGTCCCAGCACGGGCAGCTTGGCTAAAACAGAATTAAAACAGGTGAATTAATTCATACACACTCTCCATACCTGTGCATGAAAAAGAAGCTTACACAAGAACAAAGTTACGGTGCTTTAATAATTTAAACAGAACTTCAGGGACACACGTACACATACATAAAATTTGAACACAGTATCATTGCATGGTATATTTAAATCCATCCAATTCTTAAAAATCCCCCCAAATGCACTCAGTGTCCAGGACATGAGGAGGTAATTTGGAAGGGCTACAGACCAGAGTAAAACACACAAGGCCACCACTCTGCATTTGTTAATGCGACCACAGCCCGGAGACACACGAGACTTCTGTAAGAACACTTCGAGGACCGTCGGGACAAAGGGTCACTGGAGAGGAACACAAATGATCCCCAAAGGAAGAGTTCACAACTCAAGGTGTGCTCAGCCCTCCAGTCATGCTTGTTTGTACTTTAAAATACCAAACATGAGTTGAGGGCTTGGAATTCTACCTAGAGGTGTCTAAATACTGAGCCGGCTGTCTAGACTGGGTTAGACTTTAAAAGGAACTCAAACGCAGCCACTGTACTTGAGAAACTTCACCCACAGAAAGGCTTCTCTAGGGAAGAGATTTTGTATTGAGGTTTTAAAATCAGAAAAAAACCAACAAACAAAAAGATCTCTGCCATCCTGCTCCGTAAAGAGCTGAAGAGTAGCAGACCCAGGACACCCAGCGTGACGGCCAGCGCTGCGTGGATTCTGCTGGTAGGGTGGGGAGCTTTGACAAGCTCTATGTCGGCCAATAAGAGGCTTCCTTGGGGCGTAACGACGCTCATGTTTGGTAGGGGAGCTAGGGGGCTTTAGTGTGGCCCTCACTGCCCGTGAGGCAATTCTAAGATAAGGCATCGGCTTCCTGGACTAAAACACTGGCTCCCTTGAACACAGGGACACTGAACATGAATGAACGCCAGCAGCTCAGGGCTTCGAGCAGAGCCTGGAGCACGCTCACGGTCACCAGCGTGCAGCCTGGGCTCGAGGTCAGCGCCCTGGGAAAAGCTCAGACAAAGTATTTGATAAGATCCGAAAAGGAAGGTGTGAGGCATCTACGTGGAACATACAGAGAAGCGCCCAAGAGACTTCGCAAGGGAAAGCGGGGCGACCGCTCCCCTGTACCGAGCCTTACACAATAATGGCTTTGGGGCAAAAAGGCAAAAACGTCTGCACTTTGCGTGGTGTCACGTCCATCAAGGCACCGAGAGTGAAGTGTCTAAGTCCCTGTATGTGACATAAGAATAAACTCGTAAACGACTCCAGGAATTAATTCCCTGTACTTGAGTTAAAAAAGAAGAAAAGGTAGAAGTGTGCCTTTTTAACTCACAGCAAAATAAACAGAGATAGTCCACCACCCGCCCTGGGCGAATGACCTCACAGCGGGACAGTTCACAAATCCAAACACGGTGCCACGGGTGGGTTAACAAACACGATCAAAGTGTGGTCGGTCAGACTGGGAATTTAGGAAGCAGCGGATCTGCTGCCACGCGACACAGGTCATTTGAGCGCTTCCGCATCCACCGTTTCCGTGGAGGAGGAGAAAGTAGTGTTTTGGCCCTGCCCTGGCTACTCCTATGCTGACGGGTGAGATTGCGCCTCCTTCCCGGTACCCTCGGGTTTTAGCCTGGCAGTGATTTGTACACACAACCTGACACTATCAGCAGTTCACTTTAATACCGCCACTAAAAAGCGGCAAGAAGAAAGTAGAGGGCTTGCCCCTTCGGCAGTTATTTTTATTTGACCTTCTATAAATAATTTTTAAATACAATTAGCGACAAGTTCACGTCTGGAACACCTGGAAATGGAATGTGTACAAACAGTGAAGACACGATGCCACTGGCGGCAGGACCCACACGCCGCGCCGCGCCCGCCAAGCTCAGCTCTTGATGAGGGTCAGGAACTCCTCGCGGGTCTTCGGGTCCTCGCGGAACACGCCCAGCATCGTGCTGGTCACAGTTTTGCTGTTCATTTTCTGCACCCCCCGCATCACCATGCACATGTGTCTGCAGGTCGAGGCAGCAAAGGTCGTGGGAAGGAAAACACAGTGATGGTTGGTTTTTAAAATAGAACAATAGGCCAAAAGATTAACTTCGGCTCCGTTAGTGTGTCAAACTGTCCCATCTCAGACATATTACCTAAAACCGTTTTTGTCTTTTTTTTTTTATGAGACAGGGTCTCGCTATGTAGTCCAGGCTGGCCTTGAGCTCACTGTGTAGCCCAGGTTGGCCTTGAACTCACTGCGATCCTCCTGCCTCAGCTTCCCAAGTGCTGGGATTACAGGCCTGCGCCACCATGCCTGGTGAGTTCAAAAACAAATTTAAAAAATAATAAAACCTTTCTTTTTCTTTTTAAAAAGAAACGCCTTCAATTGCTCTTTGAACCAATTCCTAGTTTTTTTCTCTATTTTTCAAAAGTGGAACAAAGATTAGAAAAACTGCGTGGGCCAACCAAAGAAGACACACACAAAAAAAAAAAAAAAAAAGAAGAAGAAGAAGAAAAAGAAAAGGCATAAACTGTCAAATCCTTGCAACCAGGATTCCCTCCCTCCACCTCCACTGCCCTGGGAGGAAAAACCTCTCTCCAAGTCTGGTTCCCACACCAGCAACACAGCAAACAAAAGCAGTGGCTCTGGGCCCAGAGAAGGGGATCCGCAGTGGGGGAGTGTGCCACCGACTGTACCCAGCAGTGCCCTCATCAGAGGCGGGGTCCAACTTACGTGGCTTCCACCACCACCCCGACTCCCGCAGGCTGCAAGGCTTCGGTGATGGCCACGGCGATCTGCTTGGTGAGGCGCTCCTGAACTGCGGGTGTGACAGGGGCCCGGGTTAAGAGTCGGACTCTGACATCTGGCAATACTGTGTGTGTGTGTGTGTGTGTGTGTGTGTACGTGTGCAATATTTGACAGCTTACAAAACACTGCTGTGACATTTAAGACCCACAATGCTCCAGCGTTTGCCGGTTTGCTCTGTCTGCTGACCGAGCCACAAGGAGCCCTGTCCAACCCCTTCTTCACCTGCACTGAAGGTGTGAGGAGATGCAGGAACACGGCACAGGCCACGACCCGCGGGGTTAACACGCCGTGTCCACAGTCAGAGCGCAGAAATGAATAAGCAGCTTGCAACAGGATTAACCAAGGGGCCAATTACCGAGTTGTTGCAAGCCAATGATTTAACATAATTAATACGGTGCCTTGGCTGAGGAAACAACTCCTCTTTGAGCATGCACAAGAGTCTGCACTGAGGCACGCCCCGGTGGGAAACGACAAACCCCGCCCACTCCTAGCGGAGCAGCGATTGGTTGAGTCAAGCTGCTCTGACAGGGCAGAATGGACTCCACACAGCCAAAATGAATGCCATGGGGGGAAATGCTTGAGATCTGCTAAATGAAAGAAAATAAAAGTAGGAAAAAAGAAAGAGCGGCCAGCTATGTATAACAAGAGCCCATGCTGTTTACGCACAGTATTAATCCACATAAACTGGCTTGGAAAGGTCAGCAGGCACATGGAAATGCGAAGGAATGTGTAAACACGGCAGTGACTTCTTTCTCTGTAGGTTTGAAACAGACCCTTCTACCATCCTACCAGGTTTTCATTTCTACAGCACAGTTATGATACACGTACTATTACAAAAATACTTTTTCCGTAAGAAAAAATGTTTTATGAAACTGAAATAAAGGGCGTAACAGTTTACCTTGTAGTCTTCTGCTATAGATTTCTACAATCCTGAAAAAGAAATGGGTGTGGTTAATCACACATTGAAGTGAAACGACTGGGACTTCTTCATAAGACATAAAATAATAGCGGGGTGCAGGCAGGGCGGATGGCAAGAGAAGACAAGTCCCCCGGGGAGACGGGGCACTACCAATCTACAAGGGGGAACCACCAATCACTACGCAAAACCCCCAAAGAGAGAGAAAACCGGTGCATCTCCAAGTACAATGCTCACTTAGGACAAATACCATGGGGGCTGAGTAACAAAATCTTTTTTTTTTTTTGGTTTTTCTCCGGTACCGGGAACCGAACTCACGACCTCACGCTTGCCAGGCAGGCGCTTTTGCCGCTGAGCTAAATCCCCAGCCCCAACAAAATCTTAAAACTCCTAAGTCATCAAGTTGAAGCTAATCCTCTGGCACTCTAATTAATCATATTGTTCTGTCAGAGTTTAAAGTTCAAGTTAAAAATAAAAGGACTATTTGTTAATGAATAGCAGGTCAACTACCACCCCAACTAAACCTATCAGGGTAATCAGATCAGAACAGATTAGATTTCTTCAGACATCTCTTTATAAGATGGGTTTATTCACAGAAGTACTTTGTATGATTAATCACCCCCAAATAAACGCCTCCTGATTTTGCACTGCAAGCTGTCAGCCGGGAACTCTTCCCCGTATCTTTCTTGGCATGAAATGCAGGTGGCAACAAGGAATTTCCAATCCGAGGGCGGCAACTCATGCTGAGGGCCTTTTGTTTCAAACGGGACCTCTGAGTGGTACATGCTGCCTGTGGAGCTTCCCCCCTTCATCCCCAGAAGAACCGACTCTAGTGCTGTCCCTGCTAACCCAGTGAGCTCAGGACCAGGCGCCCAGGCGCTGCGGCGCACACCGCGCTCCCTGAGGGCAGGGGCTTTGGAATCACACACCACTCAAGGAATTGACTATGAAACGGGCCCCTTGGACAGATGCTTCTCAGGCTCACAGGCAGCAGTTGTATTTCTTACTGAGTCAACTTTGGGTATTCATGACTCCTGATGATTGTCTGGTGATTAATTTTTTATAAATATAGGCAGTATCACTGATTTAAAAAGTTAAGTATTTCCTTCTCATGTTCACTCTGTCTCCTTTCTTTCAAGACAAAGTCTTGCTAGTAGTTCAGGCTGGACTTGAACTCACTGTACAGCCCAGGTTGACCTTGAACTCATGGCAATCCTCCTGCCTCAGCCTCCTGAGTACTGGGATTATAGGCACGCACCACCCAGCGTCTTTTTTTCTTGAGTAGAATTTCAGGTGCAATCTTAGACAACAGTGTTAACATGGGCATCTGTGTTTTGCTCCACAATGCAACAGGGCAGCTTCGGATATGTTACGATCCCCTTGGAGGCTGCCTGCTGCCGGCAGACAGCTAGCTGCTCGCACGGTGAGCACGGCATCAATGCAGAGCTGTGCTGGGGACCTCTGTGATCGCACGGTCAACACGTTCCCTGTCTCCGCAGCGCTCAGCTCTTCTCATTCCTGGTTTATTTTCCCCTCATTCTTAAGCGATAATTAATTCTTAAATGATAATTAATAATATTAATAATTTATCATTAATAATTGACAACAATTAATGCCAGCACCAGCACACCCACGGCCTTCCTTGCTGTGTCTGCAGCGTACTGTGCTGTGGCCGCAGGGATTTAAATCTGTCTTTGGGGGACCTGTGAGGCTTCCCGAACCCGCAGGGGAGTGTTTCGCACGTGTTACGGATTCTTTCCTGGGATCCACCTCTCTAAGGCTGCGTCTGCCCCAGGGCTTCAGGGTCCAACCAGGACACGGCAGACCTCGAACCCACTCTCTCCCCTCTTCCGCCCGCCTGTGCTGTCTTCTGCCCAAGTTCACCAAGTCTTTCTCTCAGTTTACCCCACTTTACCCGTGCCCAATCCGTGGTTTAATAAGCCTGTTAAGCTTTGATCCCACTTAGCACATTTTTTTCTTTATTTCTACAAGGTGTATTTGGTTCTCCTTCCAATCTGCCCACTCACTCCGACTGCTTCATACTCCTTGGTCAAACCTTCGGCGCTCTTACTTTTCAATACAGTTGTCTAAAAGTCTGCACCTGATAACCCCACCCCCTGCCCTCTTGGTCCATGTGTGGCTTGCCTTCTCTTACCCTCAGCAAAATCACGTTCCCTGGAATTTCACTTGTGAGGATTTGAGAAGCCCGGATGGAAGCTCAGAGGTCAGGACTTCACAGTCTGACGTTTAACTCTGTGCCTGCCTGGAAGCCGCCCCTCTGGGCCACCGTAGCTAAATGACTACCTTGGGATTTGGCAGTATTTGGGGGGCATAGCCTGGGCCCCATACAAAGCAGTATCCCCAGCCCCATCCTGAGGTCTCTGAAGGCCGCACAGGCAATGTTAATTCTGACCCCAAGCCTTGGGAATAATACCACCCTGTAGCTCTTTTCACACAGGGTGGGGACCGCTAGGACAGAGTCCTGACTCGGGCTCCAGTGCAGGCCAATTCCTATGGCTTCTCCCCAACACCACCGTCTGTCCCCCCTCGTACGAGACACATCTCTTCACCACTCTCTCGGCGTTGGTAGTCGCTGCTGTTTTAAAATAAGCCACTTGGCATTGGAATAAACCTCTTTGGGTTTGAAAGCAGTATTTCAACTAACCAGTTAGAGTCAACTTTTTGACATTCAGAATTCTTACAACTACATGCATAAGTAAGACTACTCTACATTTAGCTGGCTTTACCAGGTTTTGCTTTCAGGGAGAGGCAGCTTCCTCAAATAAATCACATAGCTTTACAGATTCTTCTCTGCTCTCGGGTCATTAATATAACATAAAATTCAGTGGCTACTTCCAAGTATGAAGGAACATCTGTAAAACTGAGTGTTTCCCAATCAAAAAGTGGGCAACTGAAATGAATAGACAATCTCAGGAGATGTACAAATGGCCAATAAACCATGAAAAAATGTCCAGCATCTCTGTCATTAGGGAAATACAAGTCAAAACACTGAACACTGGGTGTGGTAGAATCCCAGCACTCAGGAGGCTGAGGCAGGATGATTCCAGTGAGTTCCAGGCCAGCCTAAACTACACAGCAAGACCTTGTCTCAAAACAAAACAAGCAAACACATAAAACTCACTGAGATTGCATTCTACTCCAGAAAGAATGGCCATTATCAAGAATCAAGTCATGGGGGGCTGGGGATTTAGCTCAGTGGCACAGCACCTGCCTGGCAAGTGCGAGGTCATGAGTTCAATTCCTGGTATCGGAAAAAAACAAAAACAAAAAAATCAAATAATGAACAAATGCTGGTGAGGCCACGGAGAAAAGGGAAATTTTCTTTATTGTTGGCAGGAAGGTAAACTAGTACAACCACTACAGAACCCAGAATGGAGTGTCCTCAAAAAACTACAAGTAGGAGAGGAACAGCAGGCTCAAACAGAATTTCTACTTTTAGAGATCCATCACACCCATGTTTATAGCAGCACAACTCCCAACAGCTAAATCTTGGAAGTGGCCCGTATTTGAACAAATAAAGAAAGCGTGGTATGTACACACAGTGGAGCACTACTCTGCCATAAAGAAGGATGAAGCTGAGTCACCTGCAGGAAATTGGGTGCAGCTTGAGACCACGGCAAAGGAAATAAACTAGACTCACACCTTAAGTATTACAGGGGTCCTCTCCTATGGGAAACCCAAAGTATGTGTGAGTTACAGGGCAAAATAAGAGACACTACAAAATAGGGAGATGGCGCCTGCGCAAATGGAAGGGTAACTAGAGACGGGGGCGGGGGGGTGTTCCGCACACGCAGCGCCTCCGCATGGCGACGTGACGTCCTGTGCTCCAAACGCGCTAAGGAACGACGCAGAACAGCGCGGCCGGGTGCTTCCTTTCCTACCCTCCCGCTCCTTTCTGACAGCTGCTGTACATCCAGGTTTTCTGACTCTCGGTGTGCTCCATTTCCTCCCCATTTCTGTAGAACATTTGAAGCACTAAAGGCATATTTTTAATTCCATACCCTCTCACTCCTAGCTATTACCACAGGTCCTCTCAATCAACTTTCCAGCAATCTCCGCTACAAGATTTTCAATGCTGGGACTTGTGGTTTCTATTCTTTTTTGAGACAGGGTCTCCTTATGTAGTTCAGGCTGGCCTTGAACTCTCGGCGAATCCTCCTGCCTCAGCTTCCCAACTACTGGGATCACAGGCATGCTCCACCATGCCCTGCTCTCCCATTGTTTTTAAGGTTAAATCCAAACTGTTTCAAATAATTTAGAAAACCCCAAAAGAATAGAAATCCTGTGGGGCATGGTGGCACATGTCTGTAATCCCAGTACTCAGGAGGCTGAGGCAGGAGGATTCATCAAGAGTTCAAAACCAGCCTGGGCTACAAAGTGAGTTCAAGTCCAGTCTGGACTGCAGAGTGAAACCCTATCTCAAAACAACAACAACACTTAAAGAGGGGCAAGCAAGCCAAAGGGAAATTAGAAAATTGCAGAAAGAATTCAACTTTACCCTATCACAGAAACTCAGATTAGGCTGGCGAGGGAGCTGCGTGGTAGAGGTTTCCCTGTACACCCGAGGCTCTTGGTTCAACAGGAAAGCAAAAGAAGAAACTCAAATAAAAACAGTAAAGGTCATTTTTCACTCAGCAATTGGCAAAGACTTAAAAGCGTTAGAAAGCCCAGTGTCAGTGAAGGTGTGGGCAAAGGGCGTTTATCTATTCCCACAGTACAAGTCAGCGTGATCTTTCTGGACAGTGATCTGGTAAGATCCAAAATTCAGCCACCCTTAACCTAGAAAGTTCTATTCCAGGAATTTTTCTTACAGGTGGATTCAAAGTGTGCAAAGATGATATGTAAAAACATATTCACCAAAGCAATCTTTTCCTTTTCACAACAGTCTCAAACTCTAGTACCTATCTATATCAAAGACAGGCTAAGTAAATTCATCAATCAAAGGAATATTACATAACCCTTAAGAGGTGCTCCAATATTCTCTTTTTTTTTTTTTTTTTTTTTTTGGTCTTTTTGAAACAAAGTCTTACTATGTAGCCCAGGTTGGCCTCAAATTTTTATCAATCCTCCTGCTCCTGAGTGCTGGGATTATAAGCATGGGCTACCTAGTCCTTGGATATTCTTGAACCTCAAAGAACCTCAAAGCATTTTTTAAAAATTTTTTTTTAAAAACAGCACATTGAACCAGGCGTAGTGGCACACACCTGTAATCCCAGCATTTGGGAGGCTGAGGCAGGAGAATCACTGCAAGTTTGAGACCAGCGTGGACTACAAAATGAGCTCAAGGCCAGCCTGAACTGCATAGTGAGACCCTGTCTCAAAAAGACAAAAAACAAAACTAAAAACAAGTTATATTACAGCACACAGGGTATAATCTCTTTAGGAGGTTGTTCTGCTAGTTTTTAAAAACTATAGCATGTATTTGTGTTTGCATAGAAATTTTCCAAAAGGTTAAAAAAAAATCTATATTATTAACTCTGAAGAATTTAAATAGGAAGGGAAAGCTTTTGTCTTATTCACCCATTTATATTTAATGAGTTAGGACATTACTTTTGTTTTGGTTCTGAGATACGGCCCTCTCTGTGGTCCAGCCTTGCTTTGAACTCCTGGGTTCAAGTCATCCTCCTGCCTCAGCCTTCTGGTTCAAGTCATCCTCCTGCCTCAGACTACAGCCACATGCCACCTTCCTGGTAGTGTATTATTCCTATAACAGAGAGAAGAACGTAAAGTAGGACGTCCCCGCTGTAGTCTAATGCCCACTCTGGCCCCTTCCACCCTCTCCCAGTCGTCCTCACCTAAATCCTCATGTCCACCTGCGAAGCTGGCCCAATCTGCACCCCTCTCTTTCCCCACATTGGCTCTACCAGGCACCGGCCACACCCACGGGACGCCTTCCCAGTTACAGCTCCAAGATTTCATTCCATTCCTGCAAGTATTCTACAGCAACAAAGCAAATTATGTGGCTTTTTGGCAACCCAAGGGGTTTCTATTCCAGGTTTGCTCCTGAGTCCCCCCAGCAGGGAGCCCAATCAGCCCGGGCTGGCCTGCCCTGGCCCTGCGCTGCGCTGACATTCGACTTCCCCGAGCTGACAGGTCACCCGGTCACCACGCGGGGCAGACTGCGTGAGCAGAGCTCGGCCATGGCCAGTGCCTGCCTCACTCCCCTTCGGCCCTTTCTTAGAAGAAACGGGCAGCTGAGTAAAATTCCTTTGACAAAATGCCTAGAAGCAGCACACACGGCTCTCTGGCTTGGTGGTCCATTTTCTCCTGAAGTTTTAATCTGATTCATGTACAGAAATCGTCGTCTGAACAATCAGCTCCTTTGTGTTGCTGCAGGGAAGCCTGATTGTTTGTGACCTGTTCCTTTCATCCGGGAAGGAAATGAGCTAGATCACCCCTTCCTTCCCACTCACAAGTCCCCACGTCCCGGGCCAGGGTCTTCCTGGCCCCTCCAGAGCTATCGAGGCTGCTGGGACGAGGGTACAGCGGTCGGGAGAGGGCCAGGCCAAGGCTCCTACGAGGAGGAACCTGAGCTTTCAGATGCAGACGCAGAAGGGGATGCAGAAGCGGATGTGGAGCACCGCGGCCTCAGCGAGCCGTGCGAGTCCGGAGGAAGGAGGGAGGGAAGCCCCTGGGCGAGGTGGAAGGAAGTCTGTGGGAGAGGCGGGGGTCCGGGGCAGACTGGGCCGGCCCGCAGCAGGGAGGCCCCCACAGCTCTAGGCACAGCTGGCCTGCGGACTTCAGACGGTGCATCACAAAACTGTAAAGGTAGCCAACTCTGGTGACGCAGCTGCTAGGCACACGGCTCGTGCAAGTTCCCAGAGAGCGAGAGTTGCTACATAAAATGACAGCGAGACTCACTCCCTGGGCTGCAGCATGGTGACACGACAGCCCTCCTGTGGCGAGGCCACGGGGCCAGCATCTACCACCCCACCTTCAGCCCCGCAGACCTGAGGACAGTGAGGCCGCCAGGCTGGACGGAGGCAGGAAACGAGGAAGCAATGCATTTCCTCCAGCTGCTCGCCCTAAATTCCTGAAGGAAACAAGGAGAAAAGGGAAGCGCTGTGCAGGGAGCGGCCGGACCGCTGGTGTGGTTCCCCTCATCCCCACGCAGGACTGGAAAGGACAGGCCCCCAGGCAAGGACACGGTGAACCCCAGTGTCTACGTGGAGAAGGCACAGGCCCTCAACAAAGCAACAGGGTAAGTCAGCTGGTCACAGAAATTCACTTGCTCAGTAGTGATAGGGTCACTGTACCCTTGATCACGTTATTCATACTCAGTTTTATTTTTTTTTTCTTTTGAGATAGGGTCTTGCTGTGTAGTTCGGCCTGGTCTTGAACTCGTGGCAATCCTCCTGCCTCAGCTTCCCAAGTGCTGGGATTACAGGTGTGTGCCACCAAATGTAGCTGTAAACTTCCCAACTGTCTGTCCGTCACCCACCCCTTCAGTCTGTTCGTAAACACAACACACATGCGTGTCTCCCAGCGTTTCCGCTGTCACCCAGGACTCGCTATCCACACAAACAACACAGGAAAGGATATTTAGGGGCAATAAAAGCTCAGTGGCCGGGGCCTCTCCAAGATCCCTGGACACAGACCCTCAGTCAACTGCCAGGGAAACACAGGGGCCAGGCACGTGTACTGACACTGCTTCCACAGCCCGGATGAAAGCGACAGCAAAGCAGACTTTTAAAGGCAGGCAGGACAAAGAATTGAAAGAAGACAGAGGCAGAGAAGGGGGAGACAGGAGCGCGCGGGGTGTGGCTGGCCTGCAGAGGCGAAGGACCTGGAAGTGAGGACAGGCTCCAGGGTCCCCAGGGACCCCCGGGCACAGGAGCATGGCGGGGGGAGGCTCCCCATGGAGTCTGAGTCAAAATCTGAAAGCAGAGCTGGGCATGGTGGTGCACACCTGTCATCTCAGCACTTGGGAGGCTGAGGCAGGAGGATCACCATGAGTTCAAGGCCAGCCTTGGCTACATAGTGAGTTCAAGGCCAGCTGGAAGCACAGGGAGATGGCTGCCTGTGTCTCCTCTCCCAGCCGTGACTGTGAACTAAGCCCCCTGAAACCTGGGCTAAGTTGAAGGTTACCCCGCATTCCCTCAAGTCCAGAATGGCTCTACAGAGGAAGCTGTGAGCAGAGGCTTCGAGCGGCCCCTGGGAGGATGTAAGATGACCAAAGCATTCACACCTCAGGACCGCAATTCTACGGCCTTGGTGAGGATAGTTTCAGGGTGTTCAAGACAGGGTCCCACAGTGCAGTCCAGCCTGGCCTCGAACTCAGTCATCCTCCTGCCTCAGCCTCCCATGGGTGGGGAATACAATGTGCACCACCACGGTTGGCTGCAACTACACATTTTCAGCTGGGATCTGAGGTCCAAGCTAGAGCCAGACGGGGAGAGAGAAGGCTGTGGCAGTGGATGAGGCAGGTCCCGAAGCCTGCTGTCCCGGCCGCCGCATCGACTTACCGCGCAAGCTTGCTGAGGCCAAGGACTTGCTTGTTCGGGAGATAGCCGATGTGGACCTTTGGAGAGGAGAGAGAAGTCGTGAGCTGGAGGGAGAGAGTGCGTCTTTGCGACCTCGAAGTACAGGAATACAGGAAGGGTGCGGTACACTTTTGTACAAATCCACCATAAACTCGCAATGCATCTTCAAAGCATGACTTTGCAGGGGGAGTGATGACGAGGGTATTTTTACAAGTACATAATGACACTAAAATGTCAAACCGAAGCCCGGTGTGGTGGTGCACACCTGTAATCGCAGACTCGAGACTGAGGCAGGAAGACTGCCACGAGTTCAAGGCCAGCCTGGGCTACGCAGTGGAGTCAAAGCCAGCCTCCAAAACATCCTGTGACTACTGTAAAGTATGGCTGTGACTTTCTGTGCTGAAGTGAAGTCCTGCGTGTCCTTCCTCCCTGGAGGAGAAACAGTCTCAAGAAAGGACACGTGACCCTGTTGTGACACCAGACACAAGCAGCAGAGACTCCCGACATGGCAGGACTGCAAACATAAACGGTGCCACTCGCCCACCACAGTGGCCTCAGGACCCCGTGAGCCCGAGGCACAGGGAACGCCTCTCCCTTTGGGGCCCAGACGCCCGGCTTACAGCAGGCTCCAGCACCCTGACAGGAAAGGCAGCTTGCAGAACAGGCACCCTGAGAACAGTTCCCACAGGAAATCCCCGCGCTACAGAAGGCCGCGCCTGCCGGTGTCAGGGGCACCAGTGAACCTCTATCAGGAAACGCCAGCCACTTTTTAGCGCGGGAGTCAGTGTGAGAAAATGCTAGTTCTCTTTAAAGCCTGGTGAAGTGGTTACTGCAGGCAATCAATTCTCCAGATATAAAACTACAAAGTCCATAATCGCAGCTATACTGGGGAGGCTGAGGCAGGAGGATCTCAAGGTTGAGGACAGCCTGGATAACTTAGGAAGATCCTGTCTCAATTAACAAAGGGGCGGGGGAGGGAGAAAGGAGGAAGGAAGGAAGAAAAGTGGTAGAATGCTTGTCTAGCATATAAGAGGCCTTGGGTTTTATACACATACAATCACATCCACATTCACGTTATTACTGCTGACCTAAACAGCCAGTATTTCATGTGCACATCCATACCCGACCTGAGTGTCCTCTGTAATCTTTCATCTACTAACGCCATGCTCTGAGAGTTCCAATTCCACCTCACCACCTTCCTGGCAGGCAGGAAGAGCAAGGAAAGCAGCACCCGAACATCAAGGGTTTCAGAGAAAACCTGCAGAGTGAAAGCTTTCCCAGGGACTGGGCATCTGCACTTGAAACGGCTGTGCTTCCATGCAGAGCTACAGCGTGTTTACAGTTGGCACCCTTTTTGGTCTTTCCTAAGATCCCAATTCATTTAAAATGTCCATTTTAGAAAATGAACAAATGCCCCCTAAAGCCCACAGTTAGCAAAGACACAAACACACAGGGCACTACGGTACCAGACACCACGGGCACAGCTGAACACAGGACAACACAGAGGGGCCCAGCCAGGAGGAGAGCCCGACTTTCTCATCTACAGCAGAAACCAGCCCATGGACTCCCCCGCCAGCAGCGTTCATCTAATCTAGGATCACACGGTTTAGTCTAATCTCGTGACAGCAAACCCAGAGGTTGAGTGGAACCAAGCCAGAAGTTGTGGCAGGACCCCAACAGATGCCCAGCCAGGGCCTTTCAATGGGAGAGCTGGGGGCGGGGGGCTTTTTGAGAGTCACAGGATGTAAGAGACACAACCAGATGGGATGACAATACACATATGACTCTGAACCGGTTCTCGTTTTGGCAAACCACCATTAGAACTTCAGAGAGAGTTGGAAACATTTAAATATGGGTTCACTATCACTGCCACTCAGGAATCACTGCTGAATTTACCACTGTGTGTAAGAAAGAAAATAGTTTACAGATGGGTATTCACTGATGGTACACGTAACTATCACAGGAATGATAACGATGAAAAGGCAGGCTGGCTGCCACATACCTTACACTCTTTTAATACACTGACATATTTACTGCTAACTTAGTCGCTGGCAACTCAAATTGGGTTTTCTTTTTTTAAAAAAAAAATCATCATTATGAGAAACAGACTGGAAGAAAGTATAGGGGGAGAAAGGGTATCCTGGCAGGGATCAGGTCCACATGGTGAGCGGGGATCTGTATGTACCTCACCGCCCTGTGCTGACGCCTGTGGAAGCTGCTGGATGGGAACATGAACTTACTATCCCAGTCTTTCTACTATTGCGGATGATTGAGATTTTCCATGATAAAACTTTAAAAAAAAAGATGCCATTACACACACAATTGAATACTAATCCTAAGACAGGCAGTGCTAGAGTTGGCAAGAGTGTGAGAAGTCAGAGCTCCCACACGCTGCTGGGAGTGTAAATCAGCACAAGTACCTTGGAGAGCCCTAGGTCAGCGCCGAGAATGCCGGCCGGGGGTTTACGCCGCGGGCCGGCGTGATGCCCCCTTAGCAGAGATGCATGTATACATGCACCAAGAGAAACATCACAGCAGCACTGTTTTCAATAGCTCCCACCCACCTAAAACAGAAACGCAGATGTCCAAATGTCCACCAGGATCAGGACAAACAAACTGTGGTATACTTTTTACATGGTGCAATAATATATAATAATGAAAAACAATCACACCAATGAACTTTATAGCGCAGACAAAAGAAGTCAGACACAAAAGAAGTCCAACTGCAAATTCTTTCCACTTATCCATGGTTGAAAAACAAAACTAATGTCTAGTGTTAGAAATTGATACGCTAGTTACCTGTGGGCCAAGGGGGGGAGTAGAATAGGGACAGGAGGTCTCTTCTCAGGTGCTAACCATGTTCTGGCTTTTGGTCCGTGAGGTGGTAAGAAGTACCCTTGCTATTTCTGCATGCTTCCATGTTTGATTTCCATGAAAAAATGAAAAATACAATAAACTTGGCATGGTGGCACAGGCTTGTAATCCCACGGACTCCAGTGTCTGAGGCAGGAGGATCACAAGTTCAAGGTCAACCCAGGCAACTTAGAGAGACCATGTTAACACTCACTAAATTTAGGTGATGGGTATATAGATTTTCATAATACTGTTTCCTAAAAGACTTCTGCTTGAAAATTATTAATAAAAAGTCAAAATAAAACAAAAGCATTGCGGGAGTTGGGGAATAAGAAGACAATTCTTTGTCCTAAATCAACATGTTCTCGATTGTATGTGCTATGGCTTGTGTCCAAATAGCTCCTGTGTTGGGGACCACTACAAAGTGGCTCTGAGCAGGATTTAATGTTAACCAATGGGCTTTCCATGTTTACTTGTGAGTTGTCTGAAGCTTAGGCACCTTTCTGACAAGATAAGGCCACAGCTGAAGACGTTTGGCTCCAACCCCAATTAACTATCAGGAGACTGCAGCTGCAGGGCCCACACTTCTACAATAAATACCAACCTAAAGATGAGGTATTTCTCCTGACTGACATAATTTACTACTTGAAAAAATTCTCCCAAGGTCCTGCGAGATTCCCGCGTTTTCTTGAGTATCCTCTCCCTTTGTTTGAAAACCTAATAAATACGGGCCGCCCAGAGCAGTCTTTGGCTAACTCAGAGAATACTGAAGCTGTAAGAGAGTTAGTCCCTCCTGATGCCCTAAAATCATAATATTGTCTGCATTTTATTTAAGCCTTTGAAGTCCACTCGCTTGGGAGATTGTAGGCCTGATCATCCTGCAATAACTTAGGTTATTTAACCTGGTTTTTGATACCCCTCAAAGCCTCAGGCACTCATAGCCTCAGGCTTTATGAAGGTGGTTGGATTTAGGGTACGTAAATATGGATTAAAGGTGTGATAACCAGGTTAGTCCACTAACTGGACGAGCATGGTTCTGAATGTGGCTCAGCAGATTTAATAAAGACAGAAGACCCACCCTGATGTGAGAGGCAGGAACCAATAGGCTTGCAGCCTGGATGGAATAAAAAGGGAAAGGGACGTTCACTGCTGCTTGCTGCTTCCTGCCTGCCTTGCCATGGACTATTTCTACTCTGGCGTGCCCCTCTGCCATGCTGTCCTGACAGGGAGACAGCCCACCATGGACTGAAACTTCTACAAACTGTGGGCTACAATAAACCTCTCCTCCTTTAACTTGTAGGTGTTGGTATTTTGTCCCAGCAACAAGAAAGTAACTAGAACAGTATGATTAACTATCATAAACTAAAAAACACCAGTTGCATTGGATTCATTTTTTCTAATCTAGAAAGGATTGGATGCACGTCAAATCCACTAATACCATAACCTCTGCCCCAAGAAATTCTGCAGTCATGCCATATACACACACATCTTAGGTCAAATATTATTCAGCCAAAATAAATAGCAAAGGACTGTAGGGCCTGCAACAGCTCCTTTAAAAAAAAAAAAAAAAAAAAGTTACTTTCACTTCATTACCTTAACCTATTAACATGGTATTTAACATGGAAGGCTTGCCCTGGGGACAAGCTGCTGTTTTGCTTTTGTTTGTGTAGAATTTCAAGTTTTAGATCAGCCAGGCTGATGAAAAGCAATTATTTATGTGTAACTGTAAATATCTGGAGTACTAGGAATTGGCAGCTGGTGATTTCAAGTACAATTATCCTAACTTTAAAACTTGCACTACGCTTTTTTAAACTGGTAGGAAATGACAAGGAAAACCTCACCTTTCCAACAAATGGGACGAGGTGATGCTCACACATGGAATACATATCGATGTCCTTCACAATCACCATCTCGTCATGATCTTCGTCAAATATAGCATCGTTCAGGACATCTGAAAGCAGAGGCACGCCTTAGCATCCTTTCCAATTTTAGAGAAAAATACAACGTCCAAAACCCACTCTGATTAAATATGACAAGACAGTAAACATTAAACAGAGTATTAATCTTGCAAAAAAAGACAAGGACATACCAACTAAAACTAGTTAATTTTCCCTTTCAAATTAACAAAGTTTTTTCTTTAAATGATACAAAAAAATCCTCAATACAGTGCTACATGGGAAATGCAGTGATAAATGTATTTACAGTATGGGGGGGGGTAAAGAGGGAAAAACAGGTATGCCAAAGTAAAAGTGGCTATTTCTGGTGGGAGAAATGGGCCATTTTCACTCTCTTTAAGTTTGCTTTTTCTGCTTGGCTGGGCTCTTTTCTTTCTTGAGACAGGGTCTCATTATGCAGTCCAGGCTGGTCTTGTAGTCACTATGTGGCTCAGATTGGCCTCAAACTCGTCACAATTCTCCTGCCTCACCCTCCCCAGTTTTGGAATTACAAGGGTCCACCACCATGCCTGGCTCTCTTTATGTTTTCTTTTTTTTGTTTTTGTTTTTGTTTTTGGGGGGTTTGTTTTTGTTTTTGTTTTTTGTCTTTTTGAGACAGGGTCTCCCTGTGCAGTTCAGGCTGGCCTTGAGCTCACTTTGCAGTCCAGGCTGGTCTCAAACTTGCAAGGATCCTCCTGCCTCAGCCTCCCCAGTGCTGGAATCTTTATGTTTTCTTATACTTAATATTTGCTCTGTAATATATATGTGGAAAGCCATATATGGGAAAACAGTAACACTTAGCCCTCTGAATTCTGAAGCCAGAACCATATATCTATAAACTTAACCTCTATTAGTCAGGCATGGTGGTGTACGCCTATTATCCCAGCACTCAGAGAGCTGAGGCAGGAGGATCACTGTGACTTCGAGGCCAGCCTGGGCTACATAATGAGTTCAAAGCCAGCCTGAACTACATAATGAGACCTTGTGTCAAAAAAATAGAAAAACACCAAGCAAACAAACAACCTCTATTATCAATTCCCCAAATAATTTTGTACACTTAGAAAGTTTTTCAGTTCTTGTAGGTGGGTATCAGACTTATTCTATCTAAACGGTCACCTTCCTAAGGAAATAAACCCAGTGTTTGTATGTAGGCACCTCTCTGGGGAGGTTTTGGTGGACACCAGTGTCTTGGGTGAGCTGTGAACCCAGAGCAAGCTACAACAGATGTCTAAAATCAAAAGCCCTCACTGTGACAAACGTCATTAGCCGAGCTTCAATATCTCATCTGCAAATTAGAAGTTAATGTGATGATGCCCACGGGAGGTCTGAGCTGTCTGTTGCCCTGACTACGAGAACCACCCTGTCCTGGTCCAAGCAGGGATGAAGGACAAGAGCCCCATGCTCACCATGGTAACCCCAGTGCTACGCAATCCTCACTGTAATAACCCAGCCACAGTACCCGAACCTCACCATGGTAACCCAGCCACCATACCAAATCATCACCATGGTGACCTAGCAACAGTACCCAATCCTCACCATGGTAACCCAGCAGTGGTACTCAAACAGTGGTGTAGGTGAATGCCTGGTGACAGACAGGCTTCTTCAGTCTACTTTCAAAAGAGAAGAGAAGCTACAAGCAAAGAGAGTCATGACTTTTATAAAATAAATGTATACATAGAAAAGGCCCAGTGCTTCTGCCTGCCCAGCTTGGCAGACCAGATACCTCCAGACACCCTGCTGTTGACTGAAAGTTTGAGAGACACCCAGGATCCACAGAGGAAGTCCTGGAAAGGCAGGCTGCATGAGTCACAGCGTGTCCACCCACAGCCCTGACCTTCAGCGCCTCACTGCCCTCAAAATCGGGGCCCGCAGACTCTGAGTCACCATGGAAGCAGTCACCACCCCTGAGTCAAGCCAGTCCCAGACGTGTGTGACCACGTGGCTGAAAAGTCCCACGTGTGGCCAGGAAAGCGGGTGTGTGCAGTGTAGACCGACACAGTCCACACAGAGCTGAGCCCTGCCGGAGCCGCTAGGAAAACCCCGGGAGGGAAAAGCTCGCTGCGGCGCTTGAATTAAGTGTTCCTTCTCCGAAAGCAATTTTCTACTCGGAATATTCTGCCCCAACCTTCTGTAATATTCTTGAAGGAGTCCAAAAATAGCTCCTTAGTGTGCCCAGAAGAGTCCTAGATTTCTCCAAGATGTTAATACAATGTCACTTCCAGGGGCTGGGGATTTAGCTCAGCGGCAAAAGCGCCTTCCTGGCAAGTGCAAGGTCGTGAGTTCGGTTCCCGATACCAGAGAAAAACCAAAAAAAAAAAAAAAAAAATACAATGTCACTTCCTACCGAACATACTAAAGTCTTCGGTCATACAAGAAACAGTCCTGAACGTAAAGACAAACAGAAATTTCCTGAAGAACAAGAGTACTATCAAATGCCAGACACATTCGTTTTCTGCGGCAAAATAAGGAAAAAGTAATACCCACTCTAAGCCCTGGTGACAGCCACACGTCACACGTCATCTCTCAAGCTGGGCTTCTGTCATTTACTGGTTCTGGGATCTTGGGCAAGGCATTCTATGCCTCAACCATCTTGGCTGTGAAATGAGCAGATGAATAAAGTGCTAACCTCATGGGGACATGACGGGGATTATACCGTGTATGCTTATCACCACCTCGGTGAAATGCAGTTGTTACTCTCACAATCGAGGTGGGCGGAATTGCTAAACTATGGGTCCCATGTGAGAATGTGCTTGTGCACAGTCCAGAAAGGAAAAACAGTAACTTGCAGCCAGGCATGGCGGCAGATGCCTGTAATCCCAGCACTCGGGAGGCTGAGGCAGGAGGATTGTTTTGAGTTTGAGGCCAGCCTGGGGCTACAAAGTGAGCTCAAGGCCAGCCTGCACTACATAGTGAGACCTTATCTCAAAAAGACAAAAAGGAAAAAAAAGCCGACGACTTTCCTATGAGGATTTATAGTGGAGATGCCTGGCCGATGATACCTTAACCAAATGACCCAGGCTAATTTTGCCAGTACTGAGACGAGACACTGTATTCCTGGTATGACATGTCATCTCTGTGGTACCCATCCCAACAATACAGAACAACATTCTGGTTATCAGAAAGATGGAGGGAAGTTCTGTAAAACACCTACAAAAGAGCTCTTTCAAAAGCTCCAAGAAGGGGCTGGGATTTAGCTCAGCGGCACAGTGCCTGCCTGGCAAGCGCAAGGTCGAGAATTTGATTCCTGGTACTGGAAAAAAAAGCACCAAGAAGCCAGATGTGGTTGTGCACACCCATACTCCCTGCGCTCTGGGAGGCTGAAGCAGGAGGATCACAAGTTCAAGCATAGCTAGGGAAACTTAGTGAGAACCTGTCTCAAAAATTAAAAAGGGCTGAGATGTCACTTAGTGTGAAGGCCCTAGGCTCTATACCCGATACAACTTACAACAAAACAAAACAAAAAAGGGATCAAAACCATAAAAGATGTGGAAATGCTGAAAAACTGTCAGATTGGAGGGGATAAGATAAATAAAACTAATACAATGAAAGAGCTAAAATCTAACTGAATACTGCAGCTGATTAATTTCTGAACTACAGTGATTGTAAACATGGCCATCGGAGGTGTTTCATCAGAAGGGCCTTTGGGAAGGATACTGTATAGGACAACTGTAGTGCTTTTGCAGTTGTTCTTTAAGTCTAAAATAATTTCAAAATAAAAAACATAGGATGTGAGGGTGCTCTGGCTGTGACGTCTATTGCCCCACTGATCGGGGGAGTTGATGCGACTGCCCTGGCTGGCTGGGTGGGGTCCCTTCCATGTGCGTCCCTCAGTAACTGCACTCTTGCTCAGAGGACGACCACCGCTGAGAGGGCAGGACCGTTTCCTCGGTCAAGGGTACACAAGTAGCTGTGCTCCCCTGCTAGAACCTCCAAACAAGCTCTCAAAATGAAAAATACAAACAGAACACTGTCCATCAGGAAGAAGGTATAAATAGTGTTGTGCTACTCAGTGATTAATACAGAGTGAGTGACGTGTGAGAACATGGCTGCAGATCCCAAGGGTTATTCTCAGTGAAAGAAGCCACCAGACAACACAGAAAAGACTCCTGTCATGCGCAGAAGGACAACAAGGCAATGATACATTGCAGATACAATGGCGGTCCCGTAAAACTGCATCTTCTAGTAATGCCACAGCGGTTTTAGTTCATGTAAGTCTGATCTATAATGTAAGCATGATGAAATCGTCTAGCAACTGTACCTAAGTGTGAGAGATTCTAGGGAAGACAAAAACTATAGTGACAGCATGCAGGTGGTTTATCAGGGGCCAGAGAACTGTGAGAGAGGATTCATCTGAAAAAGAACAGCAAGAAACTTTTTTGGGTGGCGGAAAAGGGATCTATCTCCACTATCCAGGCAGCTACATGATCGCATGCATCTGCCAGATCTCATACAGTGTGCGTGGAGCTTGTGAATGCCACTGAATGCTAGCTGTACCCTAAGAAAGCTAACTTTTAAAAGTAAGTCTGTAAAACTGTAGCACCAAGTGTGATTATTTCATAAAGAAAACCAGCAGATAAAGGTATGTGTTTATCTGCAGAAAGACTGGAAGGATAAATCAAACAGCTCATAAAAATGACAGTCTATAAAGCACTAAGAGAGAAGGGCGGAAAAAAAAAAGAGAAGGGCGACAGATGGAAACAAGACATCCATGAACATATTATTTGACTTTGAACATGTAAGTGTTTACATACTCAAAATTAAAATTAAACCAAAAAGAACTAGTAACTGTCACACGGCCTAATGCCCTGTATGGTCACAGAATACTAATATGCTGCCTATAGCTCATTTCATTAAAACGAACACGGACTCTAAGTTTGACCTAGCTGAATCATTTTTCTTCAGTAATGAAGTTTCCTAGCCATATTTACTTATGTTTTGCTCTAACGTATCTCAAAGCAACCATCTGTGGATAATAAGAACAAAACACTATCACGGATTGTTTTAATTTCCTGCCTGT